CAATATTTGACCTACTTCTCAGGGATTTTCCCTGCAGGACTTTTACTGGTCATGGAGTATGTTTACACTGCCATCGTGGTACCTTTTATTTATTTTACCTTGATTTCAGAAAGCAGGCTCTCACTCATTATTTTAATGATTCTACTGTCATTAAAGGCCAACCTGTGGATTACTGCGTTGAAAAGTATCTTGGGACATTTATTGACTACTTCTAATAAGCACTGCGAGGAAGCCTGTAAAAAAGGACATCGGCGTTTGTCTTGTCTTTGGAAACTGTCTCGTTTTAGCGTTGAGGTAACCATGCTGAACCTTTTAATCGAGCCTTTGTTGAATCTGTGTCGTCCTTGTCACTTGTGTCTTGGCCCTAAAAGACAAAAACTCTCTTTGTACTACTTGTATGGCATTTAAAATATTTTCATGGGCTATGTCCGCTCATTTTCCTGCTGTTATCAGATACCTGTTTTCTATGATTAGCAACAGGTGAGTTCTGTTTTTGGAAAGCTTCTGTTTTTGTTCTAAGCACCTTTGAACAGTTACTGTTCCTCATTTCCATAATAATTTGCCTACAGCAGGAAACCTGTACATGTGTGTGAGTGCTCTGAGAAGCCTTGCATGCTCGGGTCATATTCAAATCTTTGCCAACAAACCCCCTTTTATACTCACATTTCCCATGGCTTTGGTGATGAGGGCCAGCTCAGTGGGCTGGTAGACCGAGCTCCGCAGCTGACCGGTGTAGCCGCTGTATGGAGACACCGGCTTGGACCCTGTGATGGACACACAAAACACAGCTGACGTCAGTGTTTTATCACCTGCAGTCACCTCTGTGTCCGTGCGGTCCGTTTAGGCCTCCTATGTGCTGCCAGAAACCATCTCTCAGATCAAATAAATAAAAAGCTCCCTGCAGAGAGGGAAGTAATAGATGATTTTGTTGCACTTCGCGGCTCCAAACATCAAATATTTTCCCTCAGATGACACTGCAGCCACACCTCGGTGCCCGTGGAGACAGTGCAGACACGAGGTGTGATGTTTCTGGTGGGAATCAGAGGCAGAGGTGATACAGCAGCTAGACACTCATTAACATGAGTGACTCAGGAGCAGCTCTAAATCCCACGCTGAAACTCTGGGAAAACACTTTGCGCTTGATCGAACCTTCCCGACCTGGAGCGGAAGGCTGTTGTTGACAATCTAGCCTGAGCTCACAGACCGAGGAGTTAATGATTAAAGACGAATTCAAATGTGTCATAAACCAACATCTGAGCATTTACATGTCACACAACAGAGGTGCATACAGTACTAGTTACGAGTCATTAATAAAATAATATTTCACTTTGAGCAAACAACAACGAACAGGGGTAGTAAACTGTGTTCTGTAACAGCGAACAACAGACGCATACAGTGTTCTCAAAAAGTAGGTCGTCTGTCCGTCATCTTCGGGGCTGCAATTAAAGGCTTTGTCCATTAATCTGTCAATACGGTTCTCAATAATTTGAAAAGTTGTTTGGTCAATAAATTGTCAGGCAACGCTGAAAAATGTGTCTCATTAAGCCAAAGATGACGTCTTTTGTGCATCATAATCAAATACATTCAGTTAACTGTCAGAAAATGAGGTAAGAAACCAATTTTGTAAATTTCCCCGGTGATGGATCCATAAAGTTTATCTTATCTTAAACCAGTAAATATTTACATTTAAGAAGCTGGAATCCAATTTAGATTCTTTTTTTCTAAAAAAAAAAATAATCAAACCGATTAGTCGATTATCAAAATGTTGCCAACAATCCAACAGTTGACAATTAACCGATTAATCCATCGTTGCAGCTCTAATGTCTCCTCCTAACCTTCCACTCTCCACCTCAACGAGGAGTTACACAAAATAGCATATATCAAGCCAAAATGTGTGAGCTTTTAAAAAAAAAAAAAAAAAAAAGCAGCTTCTGACGTGAATCATTATAAATGTTTGTTTCTGTCAGGCTGAAAGGAAACAGAAATTTGCTGCATGAATTCGGGCTCGCTCTCCGGGAATACAGATTCATCCACACCGCTGGTTTGTTTCCATGTGTGATAGGACTTTCTGGAAACTCAGCAGCTAAACGTAACAGTGGATTGCTGTGAGATCATTCGCAGGTCATTTCAGTTCTACTGGCAGCCGTACCTTTTGGTATTCCAAAGATTAAGAGCTGATTCAAGTGGAAAACTTAGAGGCGGAAGCAGAAAGATAACAGGAAGGACATCCTGACAGACGATAATGTGCTGAGTGCTCTGCTGCGAATAACAGATGTTTAGCTG